GACCACGACCACGACCACGACCACGACCACGACCACGACCACGACCATGACCACGACCACGACCACGACCACGACCACCACTACTACTACTACTACTACTACTTCTACTTCTACCTCTACTTCTACTTCCACTTCTACTTCTACTTCTTCGTCTTTTTCTTCTACTACTACTACTACTACACAACATTCAAGCCAAGCCCCTTGATTCTCTCCTGCAGCCACTCCTTTGACAATCTTTGGCGCTCCCCGCTTTGTACTCGCACAACCTCAAAAGTCGGCGCTCCAACAAATCCAAAAAGGAGCGTGCGCAAGCTCTGTCGTCCTTGCCTGAAACTTTGGGCCTCAACAGCAACTGCAAGAAACTCTCAAAGGAATGTTCCATCATCCAAAGCGTCCAAAAACAGAACTGCGCCTTCAGAGCGAAAGACCACACTCAAGCCTTATGAGCACCAACGTCTACAGTTTGTGTCCCTCTCTCAACAAAGGCATTTTGCGTCGATGGTCCGAGTCTTAATTGGAATGTTGTCTGCCGCCTATGCTTGCGCGCAAACCTAGAGCGCATCTGCTGGCTTGGTTGCATCTAAAGTCCTCTTGCAAGATCTGCATCAAGTGACAAGTCAAAGCGAAGCGTCGCGCAAAGGCAAGGGCTATCAAAATCCATGACCTGGCACAACTCCAAGAATTTCTCAAAATGGCACCGGCATAGACACCAGATAGCGGGTGTATGGGGAAAAAGCTCATAGCCCCCGGCAGCAAGACCCGATCTAGCAAAAACAAGCGGGCAAAACGAAACGTCACCATATCGTCACAGGCGTGACATGATTCCATCCCTGGCGTGACACGACGTCGTCCCTGGCGCGACACCATGCCATCCACAAAGAGAAACGATGCAAAGTCCCCAGACACAGTCGATCAGCGCAAAACCCCGATCCATCACCGGCACCAGCGCCAGCCAGCACCCAGCTCGCCCACACAAAACGCCGATCCAGCAGCAGGAGCAGCAGCAGCAGCACCCGCACCAGCACCCGCGTGATGATGGTTAGTAAAGGCCTTGTTCAAAAATCCGCCCGCACCGAAGGTGCGAAGGCGTTGTGGAGGTATATCGCGTAAACCGGAAGAATGTTCTGGAGCCTGGAGGATTAATCTAGCGTTAGCTAGGGTGCATTTTCGGATAGGAAATGCTGTGTTTCACAGTGTTTTGTCCCCAAACAGTGTGGACACACTTAGGACTTAGGGGTTCCCGCGGTAGTAGTTCAGCAGCTGTGCTTAGAGCGCTGTTCCACGCGGACGTCAACGGCTAATTCACTGCTATTTACACTATATACATTCATGCCTCTCGAAATCCTCGAAGCGCATATCGACTACGCAGGCAATCTGGCCGGGCGCTTCAAGCGACTGCGCTCTTGTTGTAGCGCCGTGCGCATTTTCGCGCATGGTGGTCACTTTTCGTGGCAGGCCCAAGGGAAACCTCGTGTTTTGGTGGTCCAAAGTCGACTTTTAGTGACAGGCGCAAGGGATCGGAGCGGCTTTACTTCGAAGTGCAGATTTCGTGGCAGGCACAGCACTTTGGACATGGTGGTGATCGTCGAGGCGCTCTGATTCCGTGACAAGTGCAGTGAGTCATAGCTTTTCGACATGTGGCTCGTTTGCAGATTTCGTCAGGTACAGCACTTGGTCAACCTGGAAGTGCAGATTTCATGGCAGGTACAGCACTTGGTGAACCTCGATGCGCAGATTTCGTGGCAGGCACAGCACTTTGTGAACCTCGATGCGCAGATTTCGTGGCAGGCAAAGCGCTCTCAGATGCTCACCTCTCGCTCTCACTCACCCTCACACTCACACACGCTCACACTCACTCTCACTCTCACGCTCACACTCTGGGGAGGGTTGCGCAGATGGAGATGGGACTTCTCATATTCGAAGGCAGTAGTGATCGAGTGCTAACAGAGACTGGCATACTAAGCCCCAAACCACAAAGCGGCAAAATGGAGTCGAACGGGGGAGGGGGATCTAAAATCATTACTTAAATGCACGAAATCAAACGCTGGAGAAAGGAGAACTTAGGTTGCCCTTTTGTGACATGGCAGACACACCCAATAGTTTGAGTTCTCTTTCTTGGACTGCCGTGATTGCGGCCTTAGATGAAAAGCGGCACCTTTGTGTTCATAAGCTTTTCTCTGAGGAACCATGCGGGCGCGGATCCAAACCTGCACTAGCAAAAAAACGACAAACTCATGTTTGAATGGTTTGGGCCACATATCAAGCTATAAGCCCTATAAGCAATGCAAGAAAAGCTGCAAGGAATGTCTTTGCAGGCCTCCAGGCTTTGCCCTATTTTATAGCACAGTGGTTGCATACCCATTCGTAAGCCCACCTATCACTTCCTCGATTGAAGTGCGCAAAAACCTCAGGCGTGAGCAACCCAACGTCTCCTTTTTGAAGTGGGGAGACTTTGTGATAAAAACATTACAGAAGCTGTGCACAAAGTATCTAAGAGCCGTGGCGCATGAATTTCACTTACAAGCTATATAGGGCTAGGCTGGCTGCAGGTCTGTGAAATAGCCAACACGATATACCTGTTTCTTGCATAAGCTGGAAAGCATGTTCCATGTTTGGGCCGTCCATGAATACATGACCCGCACTTAAACGTGCCCTAGGCAACGTGCAGGCCAGGATTTAATGCAGGCAACAGTGAACCACAGCTGCCCAAACAGTGCTGTCTAATGCAGTGATGATGTGCTCTCCAGACTGAAGCCGATGTAAAACCAAAGCGAAGAGTAGCACCAGACAGTGCAGTGAACAAAGTGAACAAAGCTCAGAAAACACTAGAACTCCATTCCCTCTTGCCGGTGGGCGTCACCAACTGTAATTCAAATGTCGCTGTCTATTGGAATAAGGAGAGGACATTTGACTAAACCCACGGCAGTTTCTTTGTGATTGCTACAGCTGCAATGACCTTGTATCCGAGCATCAAGCAGCAAAGCATCATCCTCCTCTTCAGTGAGGAATCTTGGAGGTGCGAGCTTGATATATCCCACAAAGACAGAAGCAACTCCTCTAAGCATTGATCACGAGAGTCGGGATAAAACCTGTCACCAAAGACTCCTCTTGACAAGTCCGAAGGTCCATAAGTTTTGGTAAGTTGGACTAAGTGAACATACCAACGTTGCTTTTTCTCTGTTCAAGGCGCACTGGCATAGCTTCTGCAAGCTAAGAAGTTCATCAAGAGCTTGACCACCTCGAGTGTGTATGCTAGGCAACTCATGGCATGCGTAGGTGGATTTGGAGTGCCCAAACCTAAATCTGGTGTGAAAAACTTAAGTCTGAGGACCGAGTCCAATTCCTTGAGTGCCTCGCTCCAGGTCACTTCAGCAGAAGCTCGTGGCTCTGGCAGCCAATTGGCAAATCGCAAATCCTGGCAAGAACTTTGGCTTTATAGTCGCACGCGTCATTATATATAATATATAGCTTGTCAAAACTTCTCAGGTATCTAGCTGATAACCTATGTATTGCCAGAGTGCACATGCGAATCCAACTAGCAGGTGTGCTTAAACTCATTTCACTCAAGTCGTTGAGGTACGAGCACACATCTGTCAGCATGCCATTGATGGGCCAAAGGCAGCGAATTTGTGCATAAGACTTGCAGATTTGTTAAAAATAGATACACGTCCTTTTCTGCTTGCTGGCAGCATGGTGAAACTGCAATCTACAGACACCTTCGTCCTTGCAACAAGTTGTTTGATCAAACTTGGAGTAGTCTGATCTGATGTGCCATGCCAAGTGCAACATAGTCAGGTTGTGATGCAGGCCACTGGGCTTGGTACACTTCACTGTCGCAGTCATAGGCCAGCAATGGCGTGTCGAGCTTGGATGGAATAGCTTCTGCAACGTCCCAAATGATTCCGAAACCATCGTCTGTCCCGCACAAAAGATGATTGCGTGAGTGGGGAGCCCAAGCAATTGAATTGACACAGGAATCATGATAAGAAAGAGCTGCAAGTGCTACAGATGGTCTTCGGATGTCAATTAATATCACTCCAGGAGCATCCATCGCAATCGTAGCAATATGATTGGTGTTGCTCTTGTTCCATGCAAGCCTCAACAAGGGCGATGGTGGTGAAGACTCATATACAATGGTTGAGTGATCCAAGTTCCTTTGGTCAAAAATCCTGAGTGAACCATCTGCCCCAACTGATGCAAAAAGGCTATCGACATGGGAGAATGCAATGTCGTACACCGCCTTGTCGTGAGCAATCAGCTGTGTTTCGATCTTTTGCTTCTCCAGATTCCAAATTGTACAGGTTGTATCCACCGACGAGGCCGCAAGCTTGTGGTGACTGATGCTACTCCAATCAAAAGAAGTCAAAGGAGGTAAATTCATTGATTGCTTCTGTGCTCTGGTGTTTGCCAGCTTTCCAACACATTTCATTTGCCCATCTTCAACCTTCCAAAGATTGAGTGTAGTCGTGGAGGAAGCGAGCAAGTCTTGCCTGCCGCCATCACAACCATTGTCTGGCCTCCACAACAACTTCGTTGGAGGGAATGCATGTTCCGTTTCCGCCACGCATTCCAAGTTGCCGTCGTTGAGCTCAAGAATCTCTATGAAATTCCGTGTCTCCTCAATACAGCTGCCCACAGCAAATCTGGTCTCAGGCCTGGCAGACGAAGCCAAAGCATAGGCTGGCCATTTGGTGCCATAGTCATGCCGGCCATTGCTAGCTCCTTCCATCTCCACTAACTAGCTTTGAGCAGGAATGTCTTCAATTCATGGTGTAATTTTGGAGGTACTAAAACGTTGCAAACAATTGTAAACCACGTTCTCAATTTTGCTGCGCAACCACTCAACAATGTGTTTTAGCAAGCAGCGTCAAATGTCTGCGATCCCCCATTTACAAGAGACGCTCCAAGTCTGTGGTTAGCATTTCGTCCTGGGTCACCTAAATAAGGCCAAGATCCAATTGTGTTGTTGTTTACAACGATGAATGCAAAGTGGTATCCATGCAACATCAGTGCTTGACAGAATAGACCGTGCAAAACCATTGGGCATGAATTGTGAGTAGGGCAACAAGGCCAAAAGCTTGATCGTAAGCGCTGCAGCACATGCAAACATCCAAGCAAACAAACAAGAACAGAAACAAAAAACAACTTGCACATGCGTGTGCTCACAACTCATCAGCAATCTGCTGCAAGAGAATGGGTCCTCCGTTTTTGCAACTGAGTCAACTGGATGGTATGGTTTTATGTCCAACCTCACAGTGCGATCTTGGGAACATTTAGCAAATACAGCACAGCGCAAACAAAAATGACACGCAAAACCTCAAAATAGAACGCGAATCGGTTCTCTGTACCAGGCACTGCTGATCCATCTATCACATCGACACCACTTACATAAACAGTTGCTGCATCCTGACATCGAGCCAAGATTGGAAGAATGCGTCCAAAACATATGCGAACTTTCCGGTGCAGAACTTTGGCGTACATGGTCCACATAATCCAATCGGCAAAGGGTCAACCCAAGTGGGTTTGGACCTTACATGGCAAGAGAATGCAACTGTGTTTCTTTAAAAACGCGCAGAAATTCAAATGGTCTGTTGGCCCAAGAGACGGGGGGTTCTCCGGGAAGGTATCATCTTCATAGCATTATCATTGGTATCACAGCATGATCATGGGTATCACAACATGATCATCGGTTTCATAGCATGATCATCGGTTTCCATTGTTTCAAAGCATGATCATCGGTTTCCCAACAACATTGTCATCGGTTTCACAACATTGTCATCGGTTTCCAATCATTGTCACCGGCTCACAACATTATCATTCGGTTCACAATACTTTTTTTTGGCTTCACAACATTGTCATCGGTGTCACAACATTATCATCGGTATCACAACATGATCATCGATATCACAACATTGTCATCAGTTTCATAACATGATCCCCGCAGTTGTCATCGGTTTCACAACATTATCATCAGTTTCACAGCATTTCATCGGTTTCACAACATTGTCATCAAATGACAATGTGTTGAAATTGGGGCGGGGGGGCGCGGGGAAGGGGGAAATGGGGCAGCACTTCTCATCCGCCTCTTAACACGATCATCGGTTTCATAATATGATCATTGGTTTCACAACATTGTCATCGGTTTCACAACAATATCACCGGTTTCACAACATTGTCATCGGAATAGACTCAACAAAAGGCTGGTCTAGATAGCGTTGCGGATGCACTGGCCCTCTTTCGCTTCAAGAGCGAGCGGCCTCAGTGCACCGTCCAAACGTTATGAACAAAACACAAACCACGCGACTCACCGCGGACCTCATTTCGGACACCCATGGGAACACTGCTTTTAACCATATATAACGCGCCAACTCAATCTTCCGTGGCAAGACATAGGGTTTCGAGCGCATCCACATGCTTCTCTCGCGCGCGCTTGAGAACCATAACAACAGAATTACAAGCAGCTTGCACGCGTGCCCCACATAAAGCTCATCATTGAGAGCCTTTGCAAAGACTCAATACGCGCGAACAACTTGATGCCTAAGATAGCCATTCAAACATCAGCGCGCAAGCTTCTCACCGATGGCAGCGCGAACATAGACTATCCGAGCTGAACACAACCTGTTGAACCCTTCGGAGAACCTCCAGTCTCTACCGTCTGTTGATCATGTCTCGTGACCACATTCCTTGGATTTACGCGGTGAGGCGATCTTGTTGCAAAAACCTTGGACAAGTTAAGGCCGGCAAAACCCACGGGACCATAAAGGACCGTCCGTGACCCATAACCAGCTTTCAAAACTTGGCAACAAAGAAATCAAAGTCTGCTGCTCCCCGAGTTCCGCGGCGCCCATCGTCACCTGCCGAAAACTTTCTTTACAAAGCATAATGAAAATAACATGTCTGCGCTTTCCTTCACAAAATGTGGACACATGAACGACATGAGTTGGCGCCTGCAAGCCAAGGTGGTCGAACAGTGGGCCTGTGACGATGCTGGCAAAGCGACAAAAAACTACTATATAAACTTTACTAAACAATTGCCATTTAGGAATCTGGAGAGGTTTCCCTACTGGGGCCAAACATGGGCCCGACGACCCCAACGGGCGCGCGCCAACGGGCAACATGCCAACGGGCCCTCAACGGGGCCAACACCCGTGAGCTGCAGTTCTGATTTCCAACTCGTGTGTTTCTGCTTTATTGTATACACTTACAGGCGGGTCAAGTTCTTGGCGCGAAGAAACAAAAAACACCTGCGCGCCAAATATGAGCAGCACCTCATTCGCGCACACGGTGCTCATGCACAAACCCCATCCACACGCACGCTTGTCTCATCCGCGCGCACATCTCTCTACAATGCCTTTCTTGCGCAAACATGGTCTGTCAGGCATGGGGGGGAAAGAGTGACTATCACGCAAGCTGTCTTTAAGTAGGTCCCTTGAGCCTTGAGGAGTCACAGTCACACAGCACAGACCATGGTATGGAAGCGACGCTGTAGCCCCCATTTCAGCAGGCGCAACTCATAAATCACTTCCGCCATACGCTACGTCGCTGCTCTTCTCCATTTCCATTCTAGGCCAAGCCGAAAGTCCAGCAGAGTCTACAAACCGTCACCCCACTTGAGCCACTGCTGCTGCCACTGCTTCCGGCGGCATACAGCCTCCTCTCCTTGCTCAACAGTCACGCTCATGACACATCTCCGTCATCTTTGTTGAGAGAACCATGCTCCAGTTCTTCCGCATGACCTCCTCGTTCTGTAAGCCTTCGAACCCTCCCAGGCCAAGCCAGCAAAAGCAGCCATGCACCTGTAAGACTAAGCAAATACAAAAGGGAGCAAGGAAGGAGGAGGGTTCGCGCGCTGCTGCACTTGGGCAGCACGCTGACTGGTAGAATAGACCTTCCGGAAACGTAGCTGGGCAGGTGGGCCCGGTCGCCTTCAACCATGGCCCCTCGACCTAGAGAAGGTTCCCACCCACCTCTCCTTAAAACAGTCACAACTCATGTGGGAGCTCGAGTGTATTTGCAGCGCGGATGACACGCACAAATTGATAAAGTGAACCAGAGTCAACGGGCGATGGCCTTAGTCACCGCCCAAGACCAGAGTCAACGGGCGATGGGCTTAGTCTTCGCCCAAGGCTAGCGGACCTGAGAGCTGCAATGACCAATCCCAACCATGGTCATTGCTTTTGGCCGGAGTTCGAAGTTGACCGTCGTGCCACGTACTGTGGCTCAAGTGCGAGCAAAACAGACTGCACTGGGGCGCGTGGGAGGGCAGGCCGACGGAATCGATTCGAAGAGTTCGAACATCGACAAATCAAGAAGTGTACCAAGTTTTCAACTTTGGTTTTCTTTTGTCTGTGAGCTCGCGTGAATTTTCATATGGTAGCGGAGCTCCTGTAAAGGAGCGTAGTAGGCTTGAGTTGTTTCCGCGCGTTCACGTGGCCCTGTATCCGTAGCGATAGCCATGTCGTGTCGGAAGCTGGAAATGGCACGAGATCTGCGCGAGCTTGAGAGCGCTCTGAGGCAAGACGTCAGCCTCAAGACTCTCGGTCGGGCGGGAGCGCCAGCCAAAGAAAATTGCAAAGCTTAGAAGACCAGGCTTCCCACCTAACCAGTACTTCGAGTAGCTTGGGACCTTTGCTTCAACAAGTGCTTATGGTTCAGGCGCCGCACGCTCGAATCCATCTCAAATACCTGCGCCACCGAATCCACAAGTTGCCCCATCACCATCGACCGCTGTCCCGAATGTTGCGCCACCTTTCCCACAGGCCACAGAAAGCCGATTCGCACAGCCTAGCCAGGCGACATACCCCGAAGTAGATATCCCGAGTACACCAATACAGCAACGTTCAAATCAGGGTTTGCAGTCCGGACCAATGCCACTCGATCCATTGCAAGGCAACAAGCCGCAGGAATCCCTGATAGGCCGTTCCCCGCAAGTATGCCAGCAAGTCCAGACCAGAATAATCAGTTGTTTGCAGGTCCAGGCGCAGGTCAAACAACGCCGCCCCCTCCAGGGCCAGCCACACAGCATTATTCCAATGCCTGTTTCGGTAGGTACCCCCACACGGCTCCACAGCACATGTCGATAACGACCAGAACCCGTTCAAACGATCGGAGAAGTGGACGCCACCGATCCCAACCCCGAACCACCAAGAGTGGAAATCTCGACCTAGTGAGGTAGTGGGGTTCATGGAATGGAAGTCTGGCAAGTTGGACTGGTCTAGGATCCAATGCAAACCCTGCTGAAATCCTTTCGGGTGTCAAAGAACAAGAGCCCTTATGGCCATCGACTCAGTGCCAATCAGACAACCAGATCTGTGAGACTCCTCTCCATTTTGAAAATGTGCTTCAAGCACCATCCTAAGGCGACTTTGGTGATCCGGAACTCTGAGGAAGGGAAAGGGTTCGATCGCTGCTGTGGATTTGAGTGCCTTAGATTGTTGGCCAGGGAGTTTTCCATCAAGACCCAGACAGAACTCTTGTTCTTTCGATCGCAGTTGGCCAACTCGACCATTACCGCCAAATCCATTCCCGAATGCGTCCGAGTCCAATCAGAGTTGTACCAATTTGAGCGGGTTGCTCAACTTGATCCAGCCGTGAACACCCAGGGACTTGATTTTAAGGAGTTTGGCTGGCAAACGGGGTTTGGGAGTAATCAGGGTTCAGGTTTATGAGCTCATCATCTCTAAGATGGGGGACACTGCTCCGGGTCCGCCTGTGACCCACTAACGACGGCACTGTCACAAACCCATCCACCCAGGGTAGCTCTGAAAAGAGGCAACGTTGTGAGCCATATTGCGCGCCCTGGCTCGTGGTATGATAGCTTCAGTCAATGTCCGATGGGATCATATTTCATCTATTTTCCGTAAAGGCAAAAAGGATTATATACACTTCCCTTCTTTCGGCGACAATTAAAAAAATAGTAAGGCCAGGAGCCACCCCTAGTAGGACTCCTTGCTCCTAGTAGTAAGGCCAGGAATAAACCCTAGTAGAGTCCTTGCTCCCAGTAGTAAGGCCAGAGTAGTATGTAGCAGACAACAAACAAAGAAAACAAACCGCGCACGCCCAGTAGCGAACCAGAAACTAGATGTGGTAGAGGGAAAAGGGGGGAGAGGCCGATAGTAGGGGGGAAAATATCCACTGAAAACATAATCTCCAAACCACTGTTGAATAACTGCAGCAACCCAGGAGCGGCCATAAAATCAGAAATGGGCGGGTCGTCAAGCTGTGCGTTGGAAAATGGGTGAACAAACCTGGACATTTAACTGTGATAAACATGGATGTGGATATGGTCTGCCACCCGCCGTATATCGCTCAATGTGCGTGTTTATTGGGCACAGTGTGACTGTTTCAACTGCCATGTTGGCACAGAGGTGCACACACAACTAAACTGTACACCAACGGTCACAGCGTTAGGTGGGGGCACGCGGCCATTCGACTTGACAGCTGTGTAGTGAGCCCTGTATCGAAGCCAGAAAATTCATACACTTCTCTGCTGCTGCCAATAACAGTTTTTAGTGCGACTAGTCTTTAGAACAAAGTGGTGAGTCAGGGTGTCCATCCTCGCCATCCATTGTCGGGTCTCACCCACTTTCTGGGAACATCAATTCCCAGAGGTCCCTACACACTCAGATTGCTAAGGCTAAAGTTGCGGGATTCCGCAACACAAGTCTAAGTGGCAACTGCTCTTGAAAACAAAGAAATCAAATCTGAGTGAAATTTGATGAACTTGATTGGGAATTATCTATCAGGAACAAGTTGAGCCGGCTCGCTCATCTCAGTTGTCGTTCGGTCCTGCGAGGTAAAATCACGCTACCAAAATTTGTCAAACGCTGCAATGTGGAAAACACTTGCGCGTAATCAAATCGATCAACCATTGCCCGCGATACTCAGCATCTAATTTCTCGCTCCGATCGCAAGGCACACACGGGGGCAACCCCGATCAACTTGACTCATCGGAAGAAGGAGCTAAACAGAAGCAATCACACACTAGTCTTTGGCCATCCTGCTTCTATTTTAGTTCACCTGTTTCACAACATTCAGTCGTTCCAGTATTCGTCGTCTTCCAGCGCTTCTTCCTCAGCTATCTCCCAAGATTCATCAGCCAGCTCGGGAGCTTCAGCGTCCAACTCTTCGCCGTGGACCAACTGCGGACACAAATGAGAACAGCTCAAGTGATGGATTGCTTGGGAAAGAGTTCCGACCTCTTCTGCTGTCGGGTCTTCTTCCTCCGCGCGATGGGCTTCTGAAATATAATTAATCACAAAAAACAACGATTGCTGCAGCTATCTGACCTGCTTCTTTGCATTTTTCTTGCCACCGGCGTTTTCCGGATCCGTGTTGCCTCCTGGCACCAACCCAATTGGACAAACAAGAGAAACGATAAACAAACAATGCAATGGCAATAATACATATGACCACCTTCTGCCGCTTCCACCGCAACTTTGGTGGCCAGCTCCTTCTTCAACTGTGCCTGATAAAAACTTGTAATATAATTAGCTGCCCCAACAGGCACATGGTGAAAGGAAGTCCTAAGCCGCAAGCTACGATTTGTTTCACATAAGCCAAATCATCGCCATTCATCAAGTGCTTGTAGGCAATATCCTGAATAGATAGCGAAAACTCAGAGTTTTCAAGTAGAAGGTCTTTATTTAAGGCAGTGGCTGCGATCTCTTGGGACTTCCCGCGTGGCAGGTAGAGACCGCCAACCTAATGATACCAACACAATGTTCTAGCTTCGTACGGTTTGGGTATACTTTTTGGCTTTGCCTGGAGGACTTCTTTTTCGTCGATTTTGATCGCATAGGTGTTGGAGTGCCTGTAGTAATAAGGAGTGGTGACCTTTCTCTTGCCTGGAGAAAAGAAACAAATGGAGACTATCCAATTTCAATATGGAACCCACGCCTTGGCTACGAGCTCCTGCCGGTCGCTTCATCACCGGTTTTGGTGCTTGTGCTTGTGCCTTCGTCTTTGCAATTGGGT